CTTCATCACCACCACCACATTCATCATCATTCACACACTTTTCATCTTCATTTTCTTTCTCCTCACTCTCTACACCCTCCTTCTCTTCATCACCACTTCCCACATCAATATCATTTGCATTTATTAATGAACTTGTCGCATAATCCATTTCGGCAACTTCACTCTCTTTCTCTTGTTCTTCATCTGCACTTGCCGTCGTATGTGATGCTGTTGAACTCTTCTTCGATTGAGAAGTTCGAGAATTCTTTGGCCAAAGACCGAGAGCTGAGCATATCATCAAGTGTAGACGGTGGGCAGCACAGTGTATTCTCTTCTGAATGAGATATTTGAACGTTTGGACAAGCCGATTATATTAGAATACAAAACAGAAATTGACATTTTTTGTGATAGTGTTACTAATCCTCTGTCAAGAAGAGGATGCGAGCACCAAATTTTCTAATGTAACAATAACCCAAAAACTTCACTAAAAATTTTCCCCTTCATCACATAAAATGCATATTCTTTTCTCTTCTTTATGCCTTGAACTATCAAGCCTATTTTAGGCACTACAAATAGTGTACCTTACCAAAACTGTCATTTTTTTCACTTCTTGACTTTCTGGACTTTTTTGTCCAAAGTGTACATGAAAATGGAATTTAAATCTATAAAACAACAGCAGATAGAGGGAACTAGAATAACCAGCATTAGTTAAAGAAATTAAAGTATTTTTATTTTATTTTCTTATTTTCTAAGAACACGGTCTAATATGATCCTGGTTGGTAGTACAGGGGTTATTGACACGAGACGAAAACAAGTTTTGCTTTGTTCTCTATCGATTGTTATACTTTTTATTTGAGCGCACATATATTAATACACAAAATGAAAAAACTACTTAGATATCATGCCACCTTTTCGCGGTTAAGTAGATCAGTATTTAGTAAAGATTTAAGTATGTTTTAGCAGTACAAGAATGTCTTCAGTCTTTATTAGAGAAACAAAGAGCATGATTATAAAAATTTAAATAACAGTTGATTGCATGATATATCAATATGATATTATATAAAAAGCATGATTA